AAAAATAAATAAATAATTTTAAAAAAATTAAAAAAAAAACAGATGATAGAGAATGGCTAAAGTGAAAAATACTGGGCATGCCAATTGCTGCTAAGGACATTGGTAGTTCCACATCAATGGTAAAGATGTAAAATGATACATGGACTCTGGTAAAACATATGGACAGTTTCTTACAAAAGCAAGCAGTGTACCTACTATATGACCAGCAACTGAGTTTTGGGGTAGCTATCTCAGAGACATAAAGCATGATCATATCAAAACCTACTTATGTATAAACATAGAAATAGTCATAGCAGTTTAATTGTTCCAACTCTAAATCATAGTATAGTCCCATGAACTTATGTATAGTCGTAGCAGGTTTCTTATAGCCCCAAACTGTAAACCACCTGGAAGCCTTTAACAAGTGAAGTGTTGGGCCAGCGAGATAGCTCAGCAGACCAAGCACCTGCTTAGACAAGTGCAGGGACCAGGGGTTCGATCCCCAGCACCACATCTTGCGCTGGTCCTGCCCCTGAGCATGCTGAGCCAGCCACTGAGACCCAGTGTGGTGGTGCATGCTTGTAATGCCAGCACTGGGGAGGCTGAAACGGGAGGATCACTATGAGTCTGAGCTGCATAGTAAGACCTGGTACCAAATACATTAAAAAAAAAAAACCCACAGGTGAAGTGTCAAACTGCACTCATTCCTACTATAGAATAAGGCTCAGAAGAAGGGATGGATTTATTCCTGACACACATGTGGGCTTGGATAGATTTTAAGGAACTCATGCTGGGCCAGGGAGATAGTTCAGTAGAATAAGCGCCTGCCTGGCAAGCGCAAGGCCCTAAATTCAATCCCTGGCACTGCAAAAAAAAAAAAAAGGGACTCATGCTGAGTGCAGGGAGCTAGCTCTAAAGGTTAGGTGTCAAACCATCCCAGTATTGTAGTGACAAAGCTGCAGAGACAGAGGGCGAGGAGTAGCTGGGGCTGGGAACAGGACACACTGCAACAGGGAAGGCTGCTTCCTTGTGAAGGTGGCTCTGGGTCGAGACTGTGGCAGGCGCCGCGTGAATCACTTCATGTGCTAAGCTGCACAGAACTCAACGTGTGCGCAGGAGCACACACGACAGTGCTGGAGTCCTCATCCCAGGTAGGGGGTGGCATCACATTTGCCTCCGCTGTCACATGGGACAGTGGCCCCACATGGATCGGTGCTGGGAGGGGCCAGGTGCCCAGGAAGGATGATACTGTACGAGCACAGCTTCGGCTGCAAAGGGCAGTGGTCACAGCCCCACCACGCTAAAAGACTCCAGCTCCATGTCCTGCACCAAACCAAGGAAAAGCACCAAGTCCATGTTTACAGCCCAATGCACCTAGTACCACATTGAGGGAGTTCTAGACGAGGGACGAAGCGGGCTGTTCCGCAGGACACTGCCGATAGGGAGATGATATGCAGATGCTGTGGGGTTGCTGCGGTACTGGTGGTTCCTCTGACTGACAGGAATCAACAGTTAGCTCGAAATAAAAAAGTTAGAGAGCTAGGCATGGTCGGGCACACCTGCAATCCCAGCGCTGGAGAAACTGAGGCAGGAGGATCATTGCAAGTTTAAGACCAGGTTGAGCTACAAAGTGAGCTCAAGGCCAGCCTAAGCTGCACAGCAAGACCTTGGGTCAAAAAGACAAAATAATAATAATAATAATAATAATAATAATAATAATAAATTAAAATACAATAAATAAATTTAAAAGTTAGGTAGAATAAAACAATAGGCTGCATTTGACCCACATATCACTGTGTACTTCCGAAAGGGAGAGGTGGCTGTGAGCCTTTCGCGTGAACCTGTAGTCCCTGGTTCTAAATATAACACGAGATATCAGAAATGTTGACCAATACGATTTTCGAGAAACAAGGGCTTTTTGTTTTGTTTTTACATTTTTTGGTGGCCCTGGGGATCTCACCCAGGGCCTCACACTGAGTACATCCCCAGCCTATTTATCAACCTCCCTAATTATATACAGGGTCGTCCTGAACCGCGCTGCTGAGCGCAGACTCCATCCCCCCGCACCAGGCTGTGCCCCCGCGCTCCAACCCACCGTGTTTGTCTAAGACGTTGCTGGTGGCCGACTGTGGACTGGCCCTGGTGGGGCAAACAGAAGCGGAGGGGAGGAGGCCCGCGTAGGGGCCAGGGCACCTGTGTGGCCGCGGAGGGCTGAGGAGGGGCGGCCGGTGCGGGCAGGACTTGCTGTGGCGCTCGCACTGTGAGGGGAACGGGTGGAGCCACGTGATGGGGGACTGCGTGGGAGCCGGTTAGGCCGAAAGAGGTGGGCAGGAAGGAGCCCAGGACTCTTCCGCTTGAGTCCTGCCAGGGGCCAGGAGGCGGCGGCAAGTCTGCAGCTCGGAGATAAGGTCCAGGTTGTGACTGAGATCTCCTGTGGGTGACACGGAGAGCCATGACCTTGAGCAGTGAGTGCAAAAGAGAGTTGAGAGGGTCAGATTTGGAGGTAAAGTGGAAACCAGCATCAACTGTTGTGGCAGAAGTTTAGCAAGCCGGGTGGGGTGGTGCACACTGTGATCCTGGCACTCGCACTTGGGAGGCTGAAGCAGGGAGATTGCTCTGAGCGCCTGAGCGCGAGGCCAGCCTGGGCTACATAGCATGACCATGTCTCAAA